TCTTGCCCCAGCCCTCTTGATGCTCCAAGCCAGCTTGTTTCTCTCCCCTTGTTCCATCTTCTCCATCATGGCCTGCTGTCTTAAAAACAGTACACTCCCCATACAACTCATTCCTCTGCTCCCTTCACAGGGAGACAAGATATCCTGTAACCTTCATTTCCACGCCCTCACCCATATTCACTTTTTTCTTTCTAGTCTACCTTCTGTCCTAACTCAGCTGAAACTGAGTTAGCCCCCAGGACTTCTCCCATGACTCCTTATTGCAATCTCAGTGAACATCTATCTGTTCTGAGGTCATCTTACTTGGTCTCACAGCATTTGATAATGTGAACCACTCATCAGACGTCTGGAGCATTTCTACCTCAAAGAATTTTCTATCTCAGTTCTTTGTTGTTATTGGTGATGGTGATGGTGGTCCTGGGGCTTGAATTCAGGGTCTGGGAGCTGACCCTGAGCTTTTCTCCTCAAAGCTAGAGCTCTACCACTTTGCACCACAGCATTACTTCTGGTTTTCTGCTGGTTAGTTGGAGGCAAGAGTCTCATGGACTTTCTAACTGGGTTGTCTTTGAATTGCGATCCTCAGATCTCAGCCTTCTGAGTAGCTGGGATTACAGGCGTGAGCCACCAGTGCTCACCTCTTACTCAATTCTTTTTTTTTTTTTTTTTTTGGATCCGGTCGTGGGGCCTGAACTCTGGGCGTGGGCGCTGTCCCTCAGCTCTTCAGCTCAAGGCTAGCGATCTACCACTTGAGCCACAGCGCCACTTCTGGCTTTTTTCTTTTTGCTTATGTGGTGCTGAGGAATCGAACCCAGGGCCTCATGCGTGCAAGGCAAGCGCTCTACCACTGAGCCACCTTCCCAGCCCTCTTACTCAATTCTTTTTTTTTTTTTTTGTCGGTCGTGGGGCTTGAACTCTGGGCCTGGGCACTGTCCCTCAGCTCTTCAGCTCAAGGCAAGCGCTCTACCACTTGAGCTACAGCGCCACTTCCGGTTTTCTGGTGGTTTATTGGAGATAAGAGTCTCACGGTCTCTCCTGCCCAGGCTGGCTTTGAACTGCGATCCTCAGATCTCAGCCTCCTGAGTAGCTAGGATTACAGGCGTGAGCCACCAGCGCCCGGCTTCTTACTCAATTCTTTATGGCTCTTTCTGCTACTCATTTCTAATTGTGGAAATGTTCTAGGCCTTTTTGATATACCACAGATTTTACTTATTTTGTGTAGCTCCCCCTTACTGACAGTTAATTCTTTGTGGACTCAGTTATAAACATAAAATGAAAGTATAAAATGGAATATTCCAGAAATAAACCATTTCTCCTCCACAACATGCTTGCTCTGTTGTCTTAAAATCCCTTGGTGAGGGCTGGGAAGGTGGCTCAGTGGTAGAGCGCTTGCCTTGCATGCCTGAGGCTCTGGGTTTGATTCCTCAGCACCACATAAGCAAAAAGAAAAAAGCCAGAAATGGCGCTGTGGCTCAAGTGGTAGAGCACTAGCCTTGAGCTGAAGAGCTGAGGGACAGCACCCAGGCCCAGAGTTCAGGCCCCATGACCAGACCCCCCCTAAAAAAAAAATCCCTTGGTGAAGAAGGGCACTATTTTTCTTGGTAAGTGAATGAATTCAGGTTTGATTAAACACTGAGACTTTCTTACTAAAGTATTGGTGCTTGAATGATTTCAAAGAGAGACTTAAGTGTACAGATGTATGTTAGAGTCTTCTGGAGACCTTTGATCTCTTGATATCTTCATTTTGGCCATGATGGCTTCTCATAGGTTATTAATACTATAGGTCTATCACATGCAAAAACCAAGACTGTGTTTCATGGGAGAAAAAAACAAAAGACCTTCTAGTCTAGTACAGGAAGTAGACAACCAAGGAAATGTAATGGAGAGCATAGGACAAAACATTGATTCTGATGCCATCGCAATGAGGTGGGGGATAAGCAGGAGGTTTCCCCCGGCCATGTGGATGGGCAGGAGACTGAGGAAAGAGTGGCAGTGAGGGTTAAGGGACAGTGAGTGGACATCCATCACCAGGATCTGCGAATGCACTGAAACTAATGGCGGTCTGAACCCTGGATCCAACAAGCACTTTTCAAAAAAACAGTTTAAACACTTGATTACCCCAGTACTTCTCGTTTCCCTGTTCCATTCTCATTCTAATCAGAACAATCGGGTCTAAATGAAATAGTGCAGTGGGTGTAAATTTACAGTACTATAAATGGATGCAGGAAACATTACTTTGCTTTAGTTTCCTAAATCAAATAAAGCTATGCTTTATCTTCATTTCTTCTAGAGAGGTGAAATGATGCTGTTTCTAATGATTTTTAGCACATTTTCTGTTTGGCAATTTCCAAACTACAAAGTCAAAAATCAGGGAAGGGGCTGGGAAGGTGGCTCAGTGGTACAGCACTTGCCTTGCATACATGAAGGCCCTGGTCGATTCCTCAGCACCACATAAGCAAAAAGAAAAAAGCCGGAAGTGGCGCTCTGGCTCAAGTGGTAGAGAGCTAGCCTTGAGCTGAAGAGCTGAGGGACAGCGCCCAGGCCCAGAGTTCAGGCCCCACGACCAGACCCCCTCCTCCCCCCCAAAAAAAATCTGGGAAAACCTTAAAGTCCACTCTTTCAGAGTCATACTTAGGGTATTTATACCTCAGTCATTACCCAAGCTGATCTGGTCCTGAAATAGCAAGTTAGCTCCTGTTTTGAGCTTGTTGACTCACAAGGTAGAACAATGATTATTCCAGTGTCCTAGCAGCTACACGGCATCCAATGGGCTTTTGCTTTTTTCCTGAGCACATGTAGCAGTGGAATGAATATTTCTTTTTTTTTTTTTTTTGGGTCCGGTCATGGGGCCTGAACTCTGGGCCTGGGCGCTGTCCCTCAGCTCTTCAGCTCAAGGCTAGCGCTCTACCACTTGAGCCACAGCGCCACTTCCAGCTTTTTTCTTTTTGCTTATGTGGTGCTGAGGAATCGAACCCAGGGCCTCATGCGTGCAAGGCAAGCGCTCTACCACTGAGCCACCTTCCCAGCCCCTGAATATTTCTTTTAACTCTATTAAAGGTATTATTAATGTGGTCTTATTTATTAAAAATCTAATATTTTTCTCTTTTTTCCTTTCCAACTTATTCTTTTTTTGGGGGTCTGGTCGTGGGGCCTGAACTCTGGGCCTGGGTGCTGTCCCTCAGCTCTTCAGCTCAAGGCTAGTGCTCTACCACTTGAGCCACAGCGCCACTTCGGCTTATTTTCTTTTTGCTTATGTGGTGCTGAGGAATCAAACCCAGGGCCTCATGCATGCAAGGAAAGCGCTCGACCACTGAGCCACCTTCCCAGCCCCCAACTTATTCTTTATTATGGTATCTTTTTATGTTCCTTGCATACAATATTAGCTCTTATTTTTCTGGAATACTCATTTGTGTTCATATTTTATTCTCAGTTGCCTCTGTCTTTTCTGAGTTTGTATTCTAAATGTTTGTTTTCAATTGTCTTTCACATTAGTGGCTCTGATACTTGATTAATCACATAGAAGATGTAAGCACTAGCTTTCATGTAATCCTAATTACTCAGATGGCTGAGATCCAGAGGATCTCAATTAAAATCCATCCTGAGCAAGGAAGTTCATGAATATCTGTTTCCAAAATAGCCAGCGAAAATTCTACTTGGAGGTGTAGAGGTGTGGGAGTCTGCCAGCTGTAAGGAAGGAAGCTGGGCGAGCATGAGGTCCTGAGATTTTGAGAGGTACACAGCCTTTGCAAATGATTCTTTAAGGTCATCTCTTAGCCAGGCACTGGTGGTTCATGCCGGTAATCTTAGCTATTCAGGAGGCTGAGATCTGAGGATTATATTTCAAAGTCAACTAAGGCAGGAAAGTCCTTGAGACTCATCTCCAATTAAACACCAAAAGCAGAAAGTGAAGCTGTGGCTTAAGTGGTAGAGGGCTAATAATACACAAGCTCAGAGTTAGTGCCCAGGCCCTGAATCCAAGCTCTAGGAAAGGTGAAAATAAACAAAGGTTTTACTTAGTTGGCTATATGTTTTTGAGTCAATTTGATGTTGAAACTCTTGCTCTTTTTAACCAACTTTTTTTGGAGGGTGGGGAGGAAAGGGGTCCGTCGTGGGGCTTGAACTTTGGGCCTTGGTGCTGTCCCTTAGCTCTTTAGCTCAAGGTGAGTGCTCTACCACTTGAGCCACAGCACCACTTCCAGTTTTCTGGTGGTTAATTGGAGATAAGAGCCTCACAGACTTTACTGCTGGGGCTGGCTTTGAACTGCCATCCTCAGATCTCAGCCTCCTGAGTAGCTAGTAGTACAGGCATGAGCCACCAGCACCTGGCTTAATCATCTTTTATATTTCAACAGGAATCAGGAGGCAAACTATTATGGAAAAAGAGTTAGAAATTTTTCTTTACATTAATCTTACTTATAAAACATTGGCTTATAACAATATAGAACATATGATAGTAATTTTGTTTAAAGTCTAGTATTAGAAAACTAAATAATATGGGTCATACTACATGCCCTTTAAGGGATTAGGTATATGTGACATGTGCATTTTGTGTACAAGTATATCAGTTAATTTAAATGAAAGGGATCAATATAAAATAGTGAATGCATATAAAATAGTTAAGTAAAAAAAATGAATGCGTGTCAAAAACTATAGCTAAATTTAAGCCAAACAAAAATCATTGTATTTCTTTATGATTGTTCAAATTCATAATAAAATAAAGGAGAGTTCTTGTCTCAGAACCAATGTTTACTTCTATGTTCTGCCTTAGCCAAGTTTTTAAACAATATCACTTCTTTATTTTCTATAGATTAATTCTCAGCGTATCAGGTTATCTCTCGTTAAACATTAAAGAAAATCCTTTTGAGTCAACAAGCACGTGCTTCTTTGTACACAGCTCAAAAGGTGGAGCCCCCAAATCACTACAGCAGAAGGAAGTTAAAAGATGCTTAAATACTGGGGCCTGCTTAGCTTCATCATCCTAGTGGTCTGGCTTCTCAGTCAACATGAAGGCTCTCCTTATTCTGGGCCTTTTTCTACTTTCTAATACTGTCCAGGGCAAGATTTATGGAAGATGTGAGTTGGCCAGAACTCTAAAGAAACTTGGAATGGATGGCTACAAGGGAATCAGCCTGGCAAACTGTGAGTCTGCTCTCTTTCATACTCTCCAGCTAGTTAGCCTAGTGTCTGGAACAGAAACCAGGACAGAATGAATGATAAGAAGAGCTTTGAATGAATAAACTTCATCAGTGGTTACTTACCTAGTTTAAAACATTAGTTTTGTCCTTCAGAACAATATATCCTTCCTGAAGGAATAGTAGAGAAAATTCTATGCCATTCTGGTAAAACAGGACACAATATACTCCTCTTCTTTTCCAAGGGGTGGAGAGGGGAGAGAATCTTACCATGTAGGATAAGCTAGCCTCCAACCTCAAGGCAAACCTAGCCTTGAACTAGATTACTCCTGCCCTACCCTCCCTAGTGCTGGAATTACAAGCATGTACCATCATGCCAGCTCTGATAACTTTTTGATTACCTTCATGTTCCCCCTCAGTAATTTTTTTTTTTGGGGGGGGGGGTGTGAGGCTTGAACTCTGGGCTTGGATGCTGTCCCTCAGCTCTTTAGCTCATCGCGAACACTGGACCATTTGATCCAAAACACCACTTCCAGTTAATTGGAGATAAGAGTCTCATGGACTTTCCTGGCTTTGAACCTCGATCCTCAGATCTCAGCCTCCTGAGTAGCTAGGATTACAGGCGTGAACCACCAGTGCCCAGCTCAGTAACTATTTTTTAAGACATGATTGGGCAAATACATGGAATACGGATATGATTAGATGATATCACAGAAAAGCCTTTCTGATTCTCTAATTCTTGATTTCAACATTCTTACTTCACATCCAAATTTAGGTAATATGAGAAAATACTATATATTATATATTATAAGAAAATATCTGGGTCGGGCACCAGTGGCCCACACCTGTAATCCTAGCTACTCAGGAAGCTGAGGTCTGAGGAACACAGTTCAAAGCCAGCTTGGGCAGAAAAGTTCATGAAACTCTTATCTCTAATGAACCACCAGAAAACCAGAAGTGGCACTGTGGCTCAAGTGGTAGAGCGCTTGCCTTGAGCCAAAGAGCTGAGGGACAATGCCCAGGCCGAGTTCAAGCTCCATGACTGACAACAAAAAAAAATGAAAAGAAAGAAAGAAGGGAAGGAAGGAAGGAAGGAAGAAAGGAAGGAAGGGAGAGAGGAGGGAGGGAGGGAGGGAAAGGAAAGAGAGAGAGAGAAAGAAAGAAAGAAAGAAAGAAAGAAAGAAAGAAAGAAAGAAAGAAAGAAAGAAAGAAAGAAAGAAAGAAAGAAAGAAAGAAAGAAAAAGAAAGGAAGGAAGGAAGGAAGAAAGAAAGAAAGGAAGAAAGAAAATACCTGGCCAGGTGCCAGTGGCTCACGCCTGTAATCCTAGCTACTCAGAAGACTGAGATCTGAGGATCTTGGTTCAAAGCCAGCCCAGGCAGGAAAGTCTATGAAACTATTATCTCCAATTAACTACCAGAAAACCAGAAGTAGTGCCTTGGCTGAAAGTGGTAAAGTGCTAGCCTTGAGTAAAAGGAGCTCAGGGACAGTGCCCAGACCCTGAGTTCAAGACCATGATGGACAAAAAAAAAAAGAACAAACAAACAAAATCCATATATATATATATATATGTGTGTGTGTGTGTGTATGTATGTATATATATAAAAACAAAATAATATATAGTAAAAACAAAATAAAACTATATATAGATAGATAGATAGATAGTTTTATTTTGTTTTTACTGTATCAGCCTATATATCTCCAGCAATCTACGAAATCCATTTGACAACTTTGATGATTCTTGTATTTATAAGATTACTTTTCTGAGGGATGAGAGAAGACAAAGGTTAAATGGACTGCCATTAATATGTTTTAAGTAGCTTATCTTCATCAGTAATGCAAATTTATTCACATAAGGAATTTCTTGGGGACCCTTTAAAACCAAAGTATTAAGTTGAGGCATGTTTGCTTATACCTGCAGTCTCAGCTGAGGTGAGATTATCACCTGAGCTCAAGAGGCTAGACTGGGCAGCATAGTAAGACCTCATCTCAAAACAACAGAAACCACTAATGTATTAAGATATTTTACCAGTTAAATATATAAATTTGTGAAAGAAGGCACTAATGAAATTCTGGGTATATGATGTATTGCTGTTCTTTAGTAAAATCCTTTCTTTCAGGGATGTGTTTGGCCAAATGGGAGAGCAGTTATAACACAAAAGCTACAAACTACAATCCTGGAGACAAAAGCACTGATTATGGAATCTTTCAGATCAATAGCCGCTATTGGTGCAATAATGACAAGACCCCAAGAGCAGTCAATGCCTGTCACATATCCTGCAATGGTAAGACAAGACTGTATTTGAGGAATGGCAAGGGACCCTAAAATCCACTGCATATAGGACATGACCTTGAAGAGAACAACAGAGACTTTAAAAACTTCTTTACTTCTAGGAGTTGACTGTTATCCCCTTTAAATTTTCCTCCATAAGAAATTTGGGCTAGCCGGGCACCGGTGGCTCATGCCTGTAATCCTAGCTACTCAGGAGGCTGAGATCTGAGGATCATGGTTGAAAGCCAGCCCAGGCAGGAAAGTCAATGAAACTTATCTCTAAAAAACAGCAAAAAACAGGAAGTGGTGCTGTGGCTCAAGTGGTAGAGCGCTCGCTTTGAGCTGAAGAGCTGAGGGACAGCACCCAAGCCCAGAGTTCAAGCCCCATGACCGACAAAAAAAAGAAAAAAAGAAAGAAAGAAATTTGGGTTAAAGTATAGCTCAGACAAATAGTGCTTGTTCAGTATGCAGGAGTTCCAGTTTCCATTCTCAATACTAGAAAAAAATAGATAAATGAAGAGCTGGTATTTTTTAAGGAAGAAAAAAGTTGCTGGGTGCTGGTGGGCTCATGCCTGTAATTCTAAATGGTCAGGAGGATAAGAACTGAGGATTGCAATTCAAAGCCAGCCTGGGCAGAAAACTGTAGGTGGCACTGTGGCTCAAAGTAGTAGAGCAGTAGCCTTGAGCAAAAAAGCTTAGGAACAGCGCCAAGATCCTGAGTTCAAGCCCCATGACTGACCCCAAAAAAGTGTTGTTTTTCAATATATAAAAGGTTTTGGAATTACTTATAAATTTATTGTAAATGCCTTTATTCATGTTTTTTCCAAAACAATGTCATTCCTTTTATTTACTGAGGGTTAGTTTAAGCATAATTTGAATGTGTGGTCCTTTTTTAATTGTTTTACCTTTGTTATGTAGTGTTCTAAAATACCATAATAAGCAGCCATATAACTGTGTACTATTAACAACATTTTTTTTTGTTTGGCCAGTGCTGGAATTTGAACTCAGGGCCTCAAGCTTGCATGGCTGGCTGGCTTGGCTGGCACTCTACCAGTTAATCCCTACCTCCAGACTGGCTTTTTGCTGGTTAACTAGAGGTGGAGTCTTGCAGATTTTTCTGGCCCAATTGGGTTTAAATCATAGTCTTCCAGATCCCAGCATCCTGTGTAGCTAGGATTACTCTATCAGCACTCAGTGGTTTCTATATATTTTTGCTGAAATATTTTTAAATAAATTAAAAACTTATGATATTTTATTTTTAAATTCTTTAATTTGAGCCTCCAAAAATACAGTTCATATATAACTATTATTTCACCTAACAAATTAACTTCTGGGTTTATGTAATTAGATTTATTAAGTTATTATTCCACTACTGTGGCTTGAGCTGAGGGCCCCATGTTTTTGCTTGGCTTTTCTGCTCAGGCTGCACTCTATCACTTGACCTATACCTCTATTTCCTGTAATTGAAATTTATGTAAATATATCATATAACCTGTGATTAGTGAATACAAATTAAAATAAGCATGTAAGAAAATATGCCACCCATAAGATGAGTTCTCAATTTCACATATATTCTTCCAGAATATATTTATCAATTGTGTATGTAAGTACAAAGTTATACCACACATGTAGGTACCCTTTACAAACATGTAAACAATTTGTGTGTTTACAAAGACATAATTCTGCATTGTAATTTATGACACAGAATTCTTTCCATATCAACAAATACAAATCTGTGCTATCACTGTAAAGGATGAAAAGAATTCCACTACAAAGCATTTTCTAATTTATTGATTCCATTTTTTCATATTAAGCACATATTTATTTCCATTTGTCCCTTTTATAAATTTCTAAGAACAGCTCTGTGCATAAAATTTTGTGTATATTTCTTATTATTTCTTTTGGATAAATCTTAAATAGTAGAATTGTTAAACTAAGCATTACTCAGAAGTTTTATTATGTTGTCTGAAGACAAGCAACATGATAAAACAGTATATTTTAACATGAAATGATCTTGTATTCAAATATAATAGTTGACTACAAAGAGATCTTTTTTTGGCGGGGGGGGGGGGGGGGGGGGTGGGGGGGGGTGGGAGGGTGGGGGTGGGGGTGGGTGGGATGGGGGCGGAACTCTGAGCCTAGGCGCTGTCCCTCAGCTCTTCAGCTCAAGGCTAGCGCTCTACAACTTGAACCACAGCACCACTTCCAGCTTTTTTCTTTCTTTTTATGTGGTGCTGAGGAATCGAACCCAGGGCCTTCATGCATGCAAGGCAAGCACTCTACCACTGAGCCACCTTCCCAGCCCCACAAAGAGATCTTTTATCAGATTACTTCACAATTCCAGAACATTCAATGGCTTTAGTAAAGGAAAAGCGAAATGGATCAAATGAGTCAGAACTGGGTAAATGAGATTCTGCTAGCTAAATCCAAACTGAAATCAGATTCCCAGGACAATCTTTTTCATTCTTCACCTCTCTCTTTCAGCCTTGTTGCAAGATAACATCTCTCAAGCTGTAGCTTGTGCGAAGAGGGTTGTCAGAGATCCACAAGGCATTAGAGCATGGTATGTGTTACCTGTTAAAGAGGAAAGTGTTTATCCCACCACTGATAACATGCAGTCAGAGAAGACTTCCAAAGGTCACTCTGAGATCAGAAATTGTAGTTTAAGGGCTTATACAAAAATGTTTTACCTCCATCCAGAAGAATAGTCTGCATGTAGAACTGAACAAGAATCTTACTTTTGGGGTCCTCAATTTATTTTTTTGCACTGCTACTGGGGTTTGAACTAAAGACTTCACATCCTTGCTTAGGTTTTTTTTTTTTTTTTTTTGAACTCTTATAACTTCAGCCACATCTCCACTTTCATCTTTTTGCTAGTTAATTGGAGAGAAGAGTCTCTTGGATTTATTTGTCCAGACCGGCTTGGAACTATGATCCTCAGTTCTCAACTACCTTGGTTTTAGGATTACAGGTGTGAGCCACGGGCTTCTGGAAAACCTTAATTTATTTTAAAAGATTTCTAGAGCTTTTAATATTTTTATACTTCTACTAGCTCCTTATCATATCTTGAACTTATTTGCAGTATAAATAAATGTGCAGTGCTCTTGATTCAACATTTATGTGCAGCGTTCTGAATTCCACTGGGGCTTTGGGACTAAGCCAACCATCTTTGATACCTACCTTCATGTAATTACCAGCAATGCCTGGGTCTATCACCACTATTTTACTCAGATTGAATACTTTATGTCTCTAAAGGATGTGAAAAGTGCACACTACAATATGACATGTTCTAACCTTTTCTCTGTGTGATTTCCCTCTCCCTACAGGATGGCCTGGAGAACACATTGCCAAAACCGAAATCTCTCTGAGTATGTTCGGGGCTGTGGTGTGTAACCACAAAAGTTTTCCTCTTCAGTTCATGCCTTCCCTCCTTCACATTTTAGGAGTAGTTGTTAAATGAGAGGTCACACTGCTATTGTTTCTCCTTTACACAGAATTTTACAGAAACAGGAGTAAAATACAGCCTTTCCCTCAAAGGAGTCTTAGTGTTCATTAACATGGTTATAACTTGATATGAACACTATACTTTTTTTCCAGTTTGCTAAGAGAACCAATGTTGGTGAAAATTTTTCTACCTTAATCTCAAACTCAACTCCAGTACATTTTTTTGGCTTGGTTTTCTTTTTTTTTTTGGCCTTGAACTCAAGATCCCCCTGCCTCTGCCTCTCAAGTGCTAGCATTAAGGGGGAGCACCACCACACCAAGCTTACCTTCACTTCTTTATCAGTGAAGTCAATCAGACTTAATAGTAATTGATGTAAATGCTCTACAATATCAAATGATATATATTATAAAACAAGTTTTTCTTAAAACGAACTGGTTTTACACCAACCTCAACTATGTAAGTATCTGATACCAACATTTAATAACTGTCAAAATAGCCACTCTCGGGCTGGGAAGGTGGCTCAGTGGTGCAGCGCTTGCCTTGCATGCATGAGGCCCTGGGTTTGATTCCTCAGCACCACATAAGCAAAAAAGAAAGCCGGAAGTGGCACTGTGGCTCAAGTGGTAGAGTGCTAGCCTTGAGCTGAAGAGCTGAGGGACAGTGCCCAGGCCCAGAGTTCAGGCCCCACAACTGGACCCCCCCTTAAAAAAAATAGCCACTCTCTTGGCATACCATAAACATTTTACAGAAGTGGAATTCCAAATGGCTAAAATTTCATAAAGTATGTTACCTTTGGCTTTACTAATTGCTTGAAATGTTTCAGTTATAAATCTTTAAAAATAGACTCACAACTGATACATCTGTGTTAAAACTTAAAAGTGTTCAATTTTGTGTATCTGCATAAATATAAAAGAATTAAAGAGGGATTAAATGAGCTGCTACTGGTTCTTAATTTGGATATCTTAGATTTGTGCATATCAACTAAATCTAAGATAGATGATCTCGTATTAGTGATATTATCCATATTGTAAAAACTAAAATACTATCATTAAACGTTTGCAATGCATACATTGTCTGTAGTTATTTAGATCCATCTAGTGTCTCTGGTAGAAAAAAAAAGTGATCATTACCTCTTGAAGAAGAATATTCTGGTTTGGATTTGGCAAACCCAAACCGTATAAAATTTCCTAGTAATCCATGAACTCAAAGGGCTACCAAAAGCTCTCGTAGACCAGAATTTTACACACTGCGGAGGCAGACCATGCCCACAGGTAACCGCTCTGACCCGAGCAGGAAGCAGTGGCTCTGGGTTTTGTGTCATACGACACAGCTGTGTGAGGGGCAGCTCCATCAGCGCAGAAAGGAAAGACTTTACCTTAACCTTTTGACACCTGATCTTCTCTGAAAGGCCATAGGAGCTTTCCCGTCTCCATCTCTGCATCTTCTCCCGCACAAGAGGAGACCAGGACCTCTATAGCCTTCTGCCAAATCCCACAGGGGCAGCACTGCTGAGCAGTGAGTGTGGTATTGCTGCCCCATCCTCAATAGCTTGAAGGAAGAAACTGCACCACTGGCAAGTAACCCTTTGGAAAAATGCATCTAAGATTTCCACATATTATCACAACTTAAATTTACCTGCAGTGTTGTCTTTTCAAAAAATGTTTTATAAAATCTTTCATAGATGTTAATTATTTTAAAACAAATAGAGAAAACAAGATTTTATCATCAATAACAACAGAAACATAATAGTGGCTTAAGTTATAGTAAAATAACATGATGAAGACAGAGATAACTGTCCTGTAGTTAGTCATGAGAACTAGAAGGCCTAGGATTGCCAATAGAGTTAAGAAGAATCTGAATCCTATAACCAAAAAAGTGCTCTGAAGAAGATCGTTTAGCCGGACACCAGTGGCTCCTACCTGTAATCCTAGCTACTCAGGAGGCTGAGTATTGTGGTTCAAAGCCAGCCTGGACAGAAAAGTCCGGAAACTCTTTTTTTTGTTTGTTTGTTTTTGTTTTTTATTTATTTTTATTGTGAACATACTGTACAGAGGGGTTACAATTACATGGGCAAGATAATGAGTACATTTCTTATCAAGCATTGCAGCCTCCTCCTTTGTTTCCCCTTCCCATCCCTTCCCAGCCTCCCCCCACCCCCTCATCCAATCCTCACCCCCCCCCCCCCAGTCCGGAAACTCTTATCTCAAAAAACAAAACAAAATAAAAAAAAACTGGAAGTGGCTCTGTGTGGCTAAAGTGGTAGAACACTCGCCTTGAGCTGAAGAGCTGAGTTCAAGCCCCACGATTGACAAGAAAAACAAAAACAAAAAACAAACTGCTTTAGTGGAATCTGTATTCAGGAGCTTCCAAGAGTCTCACAAAACTACACAATCAGAAAACCTGGGTAGAACTCGGTGCTTCATCTTCCATGGCCACATTTCAGATGTTCACACACTAGTCATTGCTTGGGCTAAGGTGGTCTTTCAGTAATAGAACTTTCCTGAGCTTGTGGACTATCAAGATCAACTGTGAGTGCTCAGTTATTACAGCAAGATACCCTCCAGTAGGAGGGCCACCTATGAAAGTGGGACAAAGGTCTCCTTGCTCATTTGTGTCATCTAGAAAGATGACAGTGGAGATGATACTGGTATGGTAGTGGCACATGAATGGAAAGGGGGCCAGTCTAGGAGGAGATCAATGGGAGAAAGGGGATGGAGGGGATACTGAAGGGTAAAGTGGATTGAAGAACACACACACATATATGAGTGAATATGTATGTATGTAAGAATAGAGCACAATGAAACCCACCAAACACTGTTTCAGAAAGGAAGTAGGGGGGAGGAATGGAAATAGGGTGGAAGGGTGGTTATTTAAAATTTGTTTAAAAAAATGTGGGATGCAGGACATTTCTTAGCTTTCCTACTAGATGTACCACCAGTGTAGTCTTATTGTAAATTTTTAATTCTCTGATTCTTTCTTTCTTTCTCTCTCTCTCTTTCTCTCTCTCTTTCTTTCTTTCTTTCTTGTCAGGTGTGGGGCTTGAACTCTGGACCTGGGTGCTGGCCCTCAGCTCCTCAGCTCAAGGCTAATGCTCTACCACTTGAGCCACAGTGCCACTTCCAATTTTCTGGTGGTTAATTGGAGATAAGAGTCTCATGGAGTTTCCTGCCTGGGCTGGCTTTGAACCATGATCCTCAGATCTTAGCCTCCTGAGTAGCTAGGATTACAGTCATGAGCCATTGGTGCCCAGCTCTGATTATTTATATATTGTATTAGCTTTCTTGCTCCCTGGATATGCTATTTTAAGCCTCTGAGATAGTCATATAATTCATAGCTGTTTTCTATCATCTCTATTCAGAGTTCCTGTTCTCTAAGTGTTTTACTTTGATCTGTCTTTCACACTTTTCACACTAATTGCTTTTCCCATGTATCTGGAGATCGTCGGTTGGATATATTATATATATATATATATATATATATATATATATATATATATATATATAACTTAAATACTAAAGCTGAAGACAAAATCTATGAGCTCTGATGGGTCATACCAGAGAAAATTGAGCAATAGTAGACATTTCATTATGGAGCTAAATATTAGTAGTAATACCTCTTGTCTTCTACTTCAGACACTTACCCAGAAAAGACTCCTGATGGATCCTGCTTTATTGGCCCTAACAGTGGCATCCCAAAGTCAACAAGCTCAGTAGGGGCAACTTGAAAGTCAAGGGAATAGCTTACAAAAATGTAGACTTCCATTTCATCTCTTTATTTTCACTAGAGCATTATAACCCTTACTTTGTTGTTGTTTTCATTCTTTATTTCTTCTACTTCAGTGTTTACCTCAAATCCTAAGCCCAGTGTATGGTAAGCAAACACAACCCCTGAGCTACATCCCCAGCCCTTTAGCAATACCCTAAGTATCATGTCTATAGTTTTGGATTCACCTCCACAAAGAGTGATCTTCCCATTCTTCTGAAGTCAAGAAGGAACAACAACTTAGTTTTCTGGCCTGAGGGAGAACTGGGAATTTATTCCACATAATATTCCCAACCACTCCTACTCTTCGTTATACTGCCAGCCAGTACTTCTTGCAGAGTTATAGGGCAAGAACCAACCTGATTTTCACTGATTTTTCCTTCTGGAGGAACTTGGATGTTAGCTTCCTGGTATCCTAAATTACTCCTCATCCACTGAGGATCACAAAATTTTCTTGTTGTTTCTAATCTGTTATCTCTTTTGCTTTGCCATTGCTTTTGGTAGCTTATATATTTTCCTCCTTCCTACTCCTTTGCTCCTTCACTTGTTTTTTCCTTTGTTAGTTTTGAGACAGTGTTACCCATGCTGGCCTCAAACTTCTGGACTCAAATGACCTTTCCACTGTACCATTTTATGTAGATAAAGGCATAGATGATCCTGCCAAACTTGGATTCAAGAAACATCACGTTGCTTTTATTCTTCTACATCAAAATGCCTAAGCTCTAAAAAGTGTCTAATCAGCCAGGCGCTGGTGGCTCATGCCTGTAATCCTAGCTACTCAGGAGGCTGAGATCTGAGGATCGCAGTTCAAAGCCAGCCCGGGCAGGAGAGACCTTGAGACTCCTATCTCCAATAAACCACCAGAAAACCAGAAGTGGCGCTGTAGCTCAAGTGGTAGAGCGCTCGCCTTGAGCTGAAGAGCTGAGGGACAGTGCCCAGGCCCAGAGTTCAAAGCCCCACAGCCGACAAATAAATAAATAAATAAATAAATAAATAAAAAGTGTCTAATCACTACTTTCCCTTGATTGCTGAGGTAATGATGTTTTAGATTTTTGTTATTGTTGTTTATGGTCTTTATTTATTTATTTTTAACTTTTAAAATCAGATTCTGTATTCTGGAGTTTCCAAGAGTCTCAAAAAAACTACATATTATACATAACTCTAGGCATCCACACACAGTGAGACCAAAGGAGGATACACTTAGGGAAGGAAAACAAAGACACAATGCCTATGTGTCTCTGATCATGTAAATAATTATCCAAATGAGCTGCAGAAAATGGAAACAGATTTTTTTCTTTGTTTTTTCTGTTTACTTTGTCTTGCTTGTTCATTTGCCTGTCTTTGGTAGGATAAGGGGAGGCACTGAAGTTACAGGACACAGGGTAAGCAAATGCAGCAGTGGTGCTCACTATGGAGAAAATGAACTGTACAACTTGTAGGTCGCAATGGAAGGGAAAAACTGTGAGAGAGTGAGGGAAGTGGTGACATTATCCAAAAAGAAATGTACTTCTTACCTTACCGTAACCCCTCTGTACATCACTTTTATAATAACAAATGGAAATTTTAAAAAAAACAACTAGGAGCTGGGAAGGTGGCTCAGTGGTAGAGCGCTTGCCTTGCATGCATGAGGCTCTGGGTTTGATTCCTCAGCACCACATAAGCAGAAAAAGCCAGAAGTGGCACTGTCGCTCAAGTGGTAGAGCACTAGCCTTGGGCTGAAGAGCTGAGGGACAGTACCCAGGTCCAGAGT